GCAAGATATCGGCGTGTCTCATTTTACATCATCTGAAATAACTTCAATGCTAACTGATTTTGATAACACATTTACCATGACATAAACAATCTGACTGAAATATTGTCCCAATATTTATGTCGTGTATTTTTATTTTTCACAGTGTTCTTTTTGGCTTTCCTGCTACTCTTCAACATAACCGGATCAATCACCGGATAAATACGTCATCAATGCACTGCTAACATTACAGGTGAGGCTTTAGAAACAAACCTACAGGTGTATCCCAATACTGTTTTTTTGGACATAATTTATTGTATCCCTTTATGCACATGTATCATTTTTTTGTCGCAAAATAATATAATCACTCAAAAAAGTTTAAAACAGTATCTCAGAAGAAACTTGTATCATCAAATATCGACGATATCTTTAAAAGTTCTACGTTGCAAGACGATTGTTTTCGTTCAATGTTCTTAGTAAGATCTACTCTGCAGTGTTTAGTATGAATTTCGGAATGAACTTACTCGAATGGTCTACCTATTGATACTCAGTGATCGTTGAGTACCGTCTGCGTATACTATTGGCATGATATATCGAACCAGCTAGAAGATTTACAATAAATATTTACATTGACAATCACATGTATCACGTGAAGATGTTAAAATTACAAGAAAGAGGTTATCATGTTAATCATCTAACATAATCTCTAATGAATCTGAAATTGTCCTGATAGGAAAAATAAAACCGATGATTACCTTTTTTATAAACCAGTCTCTTTTAATATACAACAACCTTCTAACAACCGGTACCCAACACAATAGTTATCCTGTTTCTTCCAGAAATAAAAAAAAATAACAAAAAGGATTGAACAAATAAATTTGTTCGGATTAACTTACAAATGATCAAATGTCTAAATGACTTCAGTATAACTGTAAACTTGTTTTAAACATAAAATGTATGATGTATTTAAAATATACTGCTTAATATATTCCTAGTATCTCTTTGATACCATCTACACATTTAATATTAAAACTGGTGTACATTCAATATTTTGTGTTTGAATAAGTTAAATCTTAAATCGATATCCCGTTACTGCCTTGTTTCTAAAGAATGTACTTGATCCTATTTCTTTTCTTTATTACAGGGGTCATTCAGCCAAAGATGTCTTGCGCACAGGACTTTTTATCTATCTATTTCCTTTTTGATTGTTACTTGTATTATAATAAACCATGCATATCAAACATATTTTTCGAGTTATATTTTCGTCGAAGACTTTTTACAAGAATCGTTTGATTCTTTGGAGAAGAAACGTGGCAATACCCGCCTGATGATAGGACAAAATAAATCCGGGGTTCAAATTAATAGAAGAGCAGTGTAATCGTATTCTAATTTATGGAAATCGACTTCTGTTGTAATAATAATAAACATAATAATAATAACTTTATTTAAAGAGGATCACCTTTTAGGATTGTACCTATATTCCAATAGTTCCTGTACATATACATGTATATAATATAACAATACAGTCAGAAAAACAACTACAGGTATACACATATATACAATATAACAATACAGTCAGAAAAACAACAACAGGTCTACATACATATATATAATATAACAATACGGTCAGAAAAACAACAACAGGTATACACAAATATACTATATAACAATACAGTCAGAGAAACAACAACAGGTATACATACATGTATATAATATAACAATACAGTCAGAAAAACAACAACAGGTATACACAAATATACAATATAACAATACAGTCAGAGAAACAACAACAGGTATACATACATGTATATAATATAACAATACAGTCAGAAAAACAACAACAGGTATACATACATATATATAATATAACAATACAGTCAGAAAAACAACAACAGGTATACATACATATATATAATTTAACAATACAGTCAGAAAAACAACAACAGGTATACACATATATACAATATAACAATACAGTCAGAAAAACAACAACAGGTATACATACATGTACAATATTATAATACAATAGAATATCAAATATGTATAACAAAATCTCAAGAAAGTATTTCTTATATATAAAGGGAAATATTAACAGCAAATTAAATCAGATATTTTCATAGTGCCCAAATTGCTTCTTCTTTTTTTTGAAGATTTTTTAACAGTTTATAATACATTAACAATTCATTTTTCCATACACATCCACATACTCATTTCATTTCTAGTCATTAGCAAAAATGCAACACTATATTAAAGATACATACAAAAACAATATGTTCTATGTAGTTACTAAAAGGGGAAGGGTAAATCACAAATATAGTTTGCTTTTTTTCAAAATGAGCTTAAAAACCAAAATAATACCATTTCTTTCTTTGAAAACACGTTAAAATTAGAAAAGCATATGTAACAGAATGAAAAATGACAGAAATTCAATCGTCACTTAAAGATTGTTTATATAAAACGAAGAATTAAGACAGGGGGTTGTTTTCGGTAATTTCCAATTGAAAAGTGTTTTGATTTTTCAATAATTACCTTTCTAATTAATATTTCGACTTGCATTTTACAACTTTACTCATAGACTTGCAGAAATTGCATATTGTCTACATACTTTCCTTCTGTTTTATACGGAGTTATGGCTTCTGGACACATATCAAACTTGGCTATTTCAAATATATCTCAATCTAAAGTGAAATAAAAGGTGCATGACAACGTTTATATGCCATAAGTATAAGATATCAATTGTTAGTATTGTATATTATATATACATGTATCATATATTATTTGCTCAACACCTGTGGCTTAAGTGAGTTCCAGGTCCTGGTTTGTTTTTTTGATTATCAAAGTTAACTTACAAATCAAAAATGCCATTTGCCACCACAACTTCTGTAAAATGATTTATTTAATATATGAAGTTTGATTTGCTCGTAATTTAAGGTCTCCTAGCCTCAAGGAAAGTATCTGTTTAATCGTGAAAATTAATCGATTTCATTGTTTTATCAAATGTTCTGCCTAGTTCCAATGTGTATCCACTGATTGTACATAAAAGGCATTTGGGATAAGGGATAACTTGGCACAGATATTAGTTATATGATGATATTTAGTTTGTGAAAGTTTCATACTTATCCCACAATGCTTTTTTACTTAAAAACGCATTTTCCTGTGATTTGGAGTACAAGGACCAAAGTGCATCTCTTTGCCTAACACCGAATATTTCCTGAAAATACAAGTCTATATGAATGTATGTGGATTGAGTAGAGTGTTTTTAGTAGCAAGAGGGGCGTTTGACATGCTACTCTGACCAAAAGTCAGATAGTTTATGCTTTGAAAACGCATGGAAAGACTAAGTTGTTCGTTCAAACTAATGCTTGCAATTAACAGTTAATCCTTTTGTTGATTTAATACGGTTTATTTGTTACATTCAATGCTAGCTGCTACTCATATTACTTCTTAATTACTTTTCTTCCCTTTTTGTTTTACCCTACCCCTACCGTGTAACTCCTCAAATGAGATCAATTACACCAGCAGAGTGTACGTATATACAGGGTTCAAGATTGCATTGTTCTCTAAACCACAGTCGATAAAACTTATGGACAAAATGTCATCGCATCATATTACCATTACATCAAGTAGCGTCAAATATTCGAAACTCATTTGAGTTGCAGTTTCAATTAGTTTTTTTCTCAAATAAAATCCTATTTGAAATTAAAATTAGATTGAAATTATATTAGTTGTTATTTAATCACCAACTGTTATAAGTAAAATGACGCGGTTACTACAGTCAGACATGAACAGCAGACCAGCGCAGACAAGTTGTCCGTAAACTTACACTATTCGGAGCTGGAACCCAAGGACAATTCGACCAACACCCGTAATAACCGAAATTAATAAACTTATTAGAAAATAAGGAAAATCTAATGAAAACGTTCAGTATCCAAAATGTATCTCTGAATTGCTCCAAAATAGATATATTCGAATTAACATCAATGCGTTGACAACTACATAGAAAACTTTAAACATGAATCGAATATCATCACTCAGATCAGATGATATAAAGATACATGATGAATAATTAAAAAAGACGATCTATAACAAGAGAGATAGTCTTTTATTATTATATAGCATGTACCTTTATATCAATATTACACTTATACCAAGCTTGTTGTGGAACAAATGCAGGCTCATAGAACGAAAATAAAGCCAAATGAAATGCTATAAACGGAATTACAGAGACTTTTCAAGAAGTCAGTAATGAACAGGTATGACAGGGCGGGGGAGGGGTAAATACAATTATGATAAGGCTATATTCATATGTTTTGCTTTAGACGGGAGAAACAATAAACTTAGATTCACTAATTTCTTGTAATTTTTGGTTACTTTAATGTTAACCAAATTCGCGAAGAAAATTCATAAATTTTCAGATTTTATATTGTAGTTCGTTATCTTCAAAAAAAAAGCTTTAGTCATATCTTTGTGAATTTTACGATATCAAAACGAGGAATAATTTTCACTAGTAAAATGTAAGAATATGGATGTCGTGGGGGTTTATTGTCATATTTATGTAGATAGTATGCGGCCTCAATTTCCCAGAAAGCCTTCACGCATGAGGAAGCACCGGAAATGGACAAAGTGTTTACAGATCAAACCCCGGCGGTGCTTCCGCCACTTAAGAATTTAAAAAAAACACACATCAAGTCACTATTTATAAATGGTTCTGAATTTTAAATATAAAAAATGGTCATTTGATTGTAAAATGTACTTATTTCGTTGTTGTACCATATATGTACAGTCATTTAGTTTACCACCAGAAGTCATGTAGTGATATGTGCTGTTACATCGAGGAATTATATAAAAACGTGATAACGGATCGGAAGTACCCGGACATCGATGATTTATCGGACGTACATTGACAGATCGCGGTTTCCGGTTCACATTCTACTAGCAATCACACTGACCCTTTACAAGTATGACCTCCTGGAACCATGCCAATATTTCCCTGATTTTGTCGTATAATTCAAAGGTACGGAGCTTTAGTCGTCACTTTGACGGCTTCACATCGCTGACTTAGTCGGATAATTATTCTGATCACAGCTCGCCAAAATGAATAAGATCCTTTTCTTGGTGTTGTGTTCGTGCGTGCTGGTTTTTATCAGCGCCCAGTACGGAGATCCCTATTCATATGGGGGTTACCCGAATTACGGCGGTAACTACTACTCCCCGTACGGCGGTAACTACGCAGGCGGGCAGGGCTATGGTCAGGGCTATGGTCTTGCCGCTGCATACGGATATGGTCAAAACAATAATAATAATAATGTCTTAGTATACGGATGTAAGTATAGCGTACCACCGTTATTTATTTTATTTGCTTTTTGTGATACAAGAAAATTAACTGAGAGATTTGCCTGGTGAAACAATTCAGATGTTTGAGCTTAAACATTCACTTAATTTAAAAAAAAAATGTGTTTAATCAAACATTCATGTTTTCCGTATCAGTTTTAATAATGTGAGACTGTATAGACGCACGTTTATCGACAACTGGTATATCCGGAGAAACAGAGACTTATGGTGATACTGATGATAGGGAGTAGCCAAAGTTAATGACAAGGAATCACAATAATGTACATTGTATTGCCAAAGAAACGGTTTAGGATAGGTAGCAAACACCAATTGATTCATAAAATATTATGGTTGGTCTTATAATGCTTTTGTATCAAAATTGTTATTATTGCAGTTTTCTTGTTGTAATATTTTGTTTATCTTGATTTGCAGTGCTCTTCCTTGCCGCGCTCTGGGCTCTCAATATTTCTGGAATACGTGGATAAACGAGTTTGTCAAGTTACACCAAGTCAATGTTTTTTCAGGTGAGTGGCCATAATCATAACGTTATTATGTACAGAAATGAATAAGTTTGGTCTAACCATGCTCACTTACAATAGACAGTTTGCATGCATTTACCCATCAATAAACGATTATTCTTGTAAAATTCAAAAATAGTGAATCAATCTGAAACACATTAAATCGAACTGATTATCTGTATTCCATAAGACTAGAAACTTTGAATTTTCCTAAGTCAAGATGCTAATTACGGACATGACAGATATTGCAAAACATCTGTTTTGTTATAAATATAGAAGAGGCATTATAACAAATTTGTAACTGTTGTCTTCCAAACTTGTTTCGGATTAAAACAGAAATTATCATACTTTATATTAATGAATATTAGAAAAAGCAGATCATATTCTATGGACACTTTTTTTACAATTCTATTTTACAAGTAATACAGATGCAGTATAACTAGGTCCTGATACTAAATAACATTTGCTAGTTGTCTTAGAATACAAACTCATTTAAATATTGGTTAATGGCCTGTTATCAGATTGTATAAAATACTAAATAAAACGTTTAATAAGTATTTGTATTTTTCAGGAACAGGAGAGGAGTTCTATCGAAGGATAGCACAGTGTTATGTTTTCAATAAAAGTTTGTTATTGAGTTAATAAAAGTTATTTCAATTCAAAGGCGTATTTCATGTTTGTTATTACACATGTTGCACAAAAAGGTATCAAATCTTGATTTAAAAGATATGAACACTCTTGTTGACCGGGATGTTAGAGCGAAGAAGGTCTTAATGTGACAGGAAAACGGAGTACGTGGAGAAAACCTGAGTACGTGGAGAAAACCTACGTCAATTAGGTTTACCTATCTGACTACTGTTAAACTGGAAAAAGTTAGAGAAACAACATCACTATAACAAGAACTGAAGCGACATCGCCATAACTAAAACTGGGAAAACATCAAAACTAAAACTAAGAAAACATTATAACAAAAACTGAAAAAATAATACAATAAAACAAGAAATAAGAAAAAAATCTAAATAATAAGAATTGGGAACAACTCACATTAACAAAAATTGTTAGGAAATTGCTAAAACTAGAACCAAAAATACAACACTTTAACCGAGACTACATCATAACACCAAGAACTGAAACGACCTGATAAAAACAACAGGAACTAAGGAAAGATCAAAACAGAAACAGAGAAATCATCACAACAAAAACTGGGGTGAAAACATGCAAGACCCGAGAACACGTCACAGGAACTAGAACAAAACATAACAACAAGACCTGAGAAAACGTCACAGGATCTAGAACAAAACATAACAACAAGACCCGAGAACACGTCACAGGAACTAGAACAAAACATAACAACAAGACCCGAGAAAACGTCACAGGAACTGGAACAAAACATTACAAAAAGACCCGAGAACACGTCACAGGAACTAGAACAAAACATAACAAGAAGACCCGAGAACACGTAACAGGATCTAGAACAAAACATAACAACAAGACCCGAGAACACGTAACAGGAACTAGAACAAAACATTACGACAAGACCTGAGGACACGTCATAGGAACTAGAACAAAACATTACAACAAGACCCGAGGACACGTCACAGGAACTAGAACAAAACATTACAACAAGACCCGAGAACACGTCACAGGAACTAGAACAAAACATAACAACAAGACCCGAGGACACGTCACAGGAACTAGCACAAAACATTACAACAAGACCCGAGAACACGTCACAGGAACTAGAACAAAACATTACAACAAGACACGAGAACACGTCACATGATCTAGAACAAAACATAACAACAAGACCCGAGAACACGTCACAGGAACTAGAACAAAACATTACAACAAGACACGAGAACACGTAACAGGAACTAGAACAAAACATAACAACAAGACACGAGAACACGTCACAGGAACTAGAACAAAACATTACAAAAAGACCCGCGAACACGTCACAGGAACTAGAACAAAACATTACAACAAGACACGAGAACACGTAACAGGAACTAGAACAAAACATTACAACAAAACCCGAGAAGACGTCACAGGATCTAGAACAAAACATAACAACAAGACCCGAGAAAACGTCACAGGAACTGGAACAAAACATTACAAAAAGACCCGAGAACACGTCACGGGAACTAGAACAAAACATTACAACAAGACCCGAGAACACGTCACATGATCTAGAACAAAACATAACAACAAGACCCGAGAAAACGTCACAGGAACTGGAACAAAACATTACAAAAAGACCCGAGAACACGTCACAGGAACTAGAACAAAACATTACAACAAGACACGAGAACACGTCACATGACCTAGAACAAAACATAACAACAAGACCCGAGAACCCGTCACATGAACTAGAACAAAACATAACAACAAGACACGAGAACACGTCACAGGAACTAGAACAAAACATTACAACAAGACCCAAGGATACGTCACAAGATCTTTCGAAACATCACAACAAGTTTCGAGAAAACATTAAAATAACTACAAAATAGAAAACATCAGCAAGAATAAATAATACACTTAAAAAATAAAATTCTAAAAAATTAATCAATATTACAATGCATCATAATTACGTAAATTCATTTTATATCATTTTAATACGTCATAAACCACATGATCAGTGATCAGTACACCTCTTTGATAATGTCCTTGCCATTCGAAATGTAATCTTTTTCGCATTTTGTTGAATAAAATTTTGCCAGACCTTACTGCATTTTTCATTTCTGTTAGATGAATGAATGCTCCATCGACAGAAAACTCCCATTCACCAAGACGGCCGAAGTTCGATTCCCTGAATAGACATAAAAAAAACTATGGGGTCACCTTCCGTGGGTTTTCAGATACTCCGGTTTCCCATTAAAACACCCGAGCGCTTATATATCCGAGTCAACAAGAGTTATCAATTTAAAATGATATAATTTCTTTTGTAATTGTTGTAAACCTAATTAAGTTTTATGATTATTTTAGAAAAGGTGAACGCTATCATTTTGTAACAAAAGGCCAAATTCTCCGCTTGTCGCGGTTGGTCTGTTTACGAATATTGCACGAACATCTACAGAATTCGTTATACATGTAAGTTTGATAAACATACCAATTCGGTTTTGTCCCTCGACCTTACAACAACTTATTGCAATTTACCATTATAGATGCTGATTATTAGAAAAAACAGATTTTATCGTTTATTTTGATCGGGTTTGTAATAATAGATTATATGAAAGCTTGACGCACATCGATAACATAACATAACAATTACGCAGCAATAACATTTACGATTGGAAAGAGAAGATGATCGGAATCAAATTGCTTTACAGTTGAAACCTATTATATATTCAGGCTATACAAGGGTTGTCTATTCTGAGGTTTATTAACGATATTAATTGAAAATTAACTTAACCGTGCATAAAATGTTTGCTGACGACACTTCACGTGTATACTCATTAATTAACAGGATGGAAATCGAAACCCGCATGATTTATTGTTAAACGTACTTTGAACATTGGTGAAGGAGATGGCATTTAGTGTTTACCCTAGTAAAACAGGCGTATCTATATTGAACACAATAAACGGTTCTATAAATTAAAATAAATGTATATCTAGCAACACTGTGCCTGTTTTTCACACACTTTTCGGGGTAACATTACAAATATGACAATGGGAAATGAGAAACGTGTATTTCAAATAACGCCAAACCAACTTCCAAACATTTGTCTGTTTACAGAACACAAAATTTCTCTTTAAACAGAATTATCTAAATAATATACTATATATATTAGATAAATTTTGGAATAAACAAGTATATTATAAGCGATATCTGTTATGGAATAATCAAGATTACTTATTATCAAAGTGTCAACTACAATTCTATAAAAATAAAAACCTTTCTATCTCACACATAAAAAACGACCCTCATATCACACAAAGAATTAACATATTTCTCTGCGAGAACCTAATTGCGAGCATTAAACTTGATCACAGATTCAACCAGTTTCTGTGGAAACACTGTGTTGTCAGCAGTAAACATCAATCACGGATAGCACTACAATCAGAGCTCTTAAATCAACTCTGACATGTAGACACCGTTGGTGGAGGAAGCTAGGATGGTACTATAAAGAAAGGGAAAGTTACAATAGGAAATCGAAATCATCCTCTTTATCGTACAGCTTAGTAGTAAGCCGTCCTTGTTGGTCATGTTGTAAATAAGTAGAAGAGTATGCGGTGTCCTTACTTTTAAGAATTCAAGATTCACCAAACTTGTAACTAAATATCCAGTAGCAGAGTGTAAGTTAATTGAGTCTTGTATTCAGCTTATGACTGTTCTTACCAAATTATAAAACAAAATATCATTGTTTTTCATTGTTACTATTACATGGTAGAAAACTATCGAAGTGTATTCTTTCTAAAATTATACAGGTAGTCTACTTTTGTTTGGGATATCCCAATGAATGGTTCTGCTCGACACAGACAATAAAGCAATCAAGATATTATACAAATGGTTCCAGTTGTACACTAATCGTCATTTGAATTTGTGTGATGAAATCGGGCTCCTGCAATGCAGTCATAATGAATCGGACTAGGAAAGGCACTGGACTACCTTCAGCTGAACAGAGAACGATTACGAGAAACTATTTAGTGAAGTTGGAAGGCGGAGTTTGATTTCATCATCATAGAGGCGAAATGAAGACATTTTATTATATTTTTGCCAGTGAAATATCAGAATCTATCAACTTGATAAAAATGATATCTTTCACACTGTGACAAATATTAAAAGTGATATTTTCACAGTGTGAAAATATCAATTTTTGGTATTGACAAATCATAACGGTATCTTGTATTCGCTGCATTCAAAGGCAACGAATTTTTGTTCAGATTCAAATGAAGCGACGGTAGATTAAGTGGTTATTATGGTAAATGTTTGGTACACACACTTAAGTATTTACATAAGTTTACAATTAATAACATATTTTTTTATTAATTATATACTTATGAGCAATCATACCAGAAAAAAGCAGAAAACGTCAGAATTGTTTTGAGTATCCATTCAAAAAGGCGCGCAGCCTTGTTGTCAAGCGTGACGTCATTAGAATATGGCGCTTATTATTACGCTTCTGATTCCCGCCCTTTTCTAATGCATTACATTTTTCATGTTTTAGGCTTTAAAAGTGTAATAAATATGAAATGTAATGGTGTCTTCAAATATATATCACTCATGTGGCTAATATTTTGATATTTCAAATATCAAAATATTAGCCACATGAGTGAAACATAATGTTATTACTGAAGACACCATTAACTATCCTGTATATAGGTTATGTCAATTATGTATTGTACATGTATATATATATATAATGAAAAGACTGTTTATTCTGAAGAGTGCACATGAAATGATGACGTCATCAATATTTTGACGTCACAAACAATACAAAATACGGAAAATAACTTGTCTCCCTTTCACGTCAATTGTCTAGTAAAATACATTTGTTGCGAACTATTCACACCGGGTTTTAATAATTTAATGAACTCCGACTCTTTAGTTTTCCGTTTTATAACATTAGAAGAATACATATTATATATAGGGATAACCTTGAGTTAGATGTAAGCACAATTATAGATATTTTTGTTAACATGCTAAAATCATCACTCAT